ACAGGCTATCTTTCCTCCAGTGTGGATGGTTGGCTCCTTTGTCAAAGATGAGGTAGCTGAGTATGTCTGGAGTTGTTTCTGTATCTTCTAATCTATTCCACTGATCCTCAGGTCTGTTTCTTTGCCAGTACCATGCTGTTTTTTATCACAGTGGCTTTGTAGTATAGTTTCAAGTCAGAGATTGTGATACCCCCTGTCATATCCCTGTTGCCTAGAATTGCTTTTGCTATTCTAGGTCTCTTCTGATTCCAAATTAATTTTTGGATTGTTTTTCAACAAGATACTGGCAAACAGAATACAGAGGGTCATCAAGAAGATCATACACCCTGACCAAGTCAGATTTATCCCAGGGATGCAAGGATGGTTCAACATTTGTAAATCAATAAATGTAATACACTATATTAAAGACCCAAGGACAAAAACCATATGATCATCTCAATAGATGGAGAAAAGGCATTTGACAAAACTCAACACCCATTCATAATAAAAAAAAAAAAACCCTGCAGCAAATTGGAACAGATGGTCTTTATCTCAACCTGATAAAGGCTATCTATGAAAAACCAACAGCCAACATCATACTAAATGGTGAAAAACTGAAAACCTTCATGCTAAAATCAGGAACAAGACAAGGATGTCCACTATCACCACTCCTGTCCAATATAGTTCTGAAAACATTAGCCAAAGCAATTAGACAAGAGAAATAAATAAAAGGAAGATAAGAAAGAAAGAAGCTAAACTGTCATTATTTGCTGATGATATAGTACTCTACATTGAAAACCAAAAATCTCTGCCAAGAGACTTCTAGACTTAATTGACATATTCAGTAGCTGGATACAAGGTCAACACTCAAAAATCAATAGCCTTCTTGTACACAAATAAAAAACTCACTGAGAGGGCCGGGGATTTAGCTCAGTGGTTTCGCCGCCTGCTGTGCAAGCGCAAGGCCCTCCATCAGTAATTTTAATTGATTATTTTAGCAGACAAATGACTGGATGAGCAACCTTGGGATTAGTTGATTCTGTGTATGTGAATAGGAAGAACTTCTTGGCTTCTTCCTCTATCTTCTTCCTCTTTTTTCTGTTCTCTCTTAAACTTTGACCTTATCGGTGGAGATGGTTCATCCCAGACCCTTCCCTTTTGGGGGTAATAGAGAAGGAGAATAGTGGTTGCTATTTACTGAATCCTCTCTGTGTGTCAACCAATAAGTCAGTGGTAGTGCTGGAATCTGAACCCAGGTGCTGGTACCAGAACTGGCCTTGCTCATGCCCAGTGGTGCCCCAACTCTCTTTTAGGACATTTCTCCCAGGGCTCCTTCCTGTCCTGCTTTCTCTGCCTAGAAATGACCTTTTCCCTTTTCTGCCCTATGACCTTTGATTTCCTTCAAATACTAAAGTCACTTCTTCCAGGTAGAATTACATGTCCCTCTGTGAGTGTTCCCCTAGAACAGAGAGACCTGGAAACTTCTATTAATCTTGACCCACAATAAAAAATACATTTTATGTCGGTCATGGTGGTGGAGGCCTATAATCCCAGCACTTGGGAGGCAGAGCCAGGAGGATTGCTGTGAGTTCGAGGCCAGCTTGGGCTACATAGTGCATTCAAGGCAAGTCTGAACTACATAGGGAGACCCTGTCTCAGGAAAAAAAAATGTTTTTACATTACTATCCAGGGCCAGGATACATACATAATTGAAATGAAAATTTCAGGGAAAAAATACACTGCTTCTGATAGCTTTAGTTCCATTCCTTATTTTAAACTATGTTGATTGTGACGCACTTAAATTATTATGTCCAACCAGGGATTTAGCTCAGTGGTTCCACCGCCTGCCTCGCAAGTGCAAGGTTTGGAGTTAGATCCCCAGTACCAAAAAAAAAAAAATCATTATGTCCCACTATCATGAGTTGATTATAGTTTGGAAAACTGCCCTAGATGTGCTTTTTTCCCTTCAACCCCTTATTGGCTTGCTTCAGCCCAGAAGGCGTCTGGCTTCTCACACAGAGGAAATTAGGCCTAGTCCCTTGGTAAGCAGGAAGACTAATTCTGGCCCCACCCACTAGTCATCTAAAATGAAAGTTACAGGGCTGGGATGTAGAGCAGTTGGCTAGTATGCCTGAAGCTCTGGGTTTGACCCCTAGCACTGGAAATAATAAAGTAAAAAAGAAACCCTGATTGTGGAAAAATACATACAACATGAAATTTACCAGGGCCAGGGATTTAGCTCAGTGGCATCACACCTGCCTCACAAGCACAAGGTCCTGAGTTCCATCCCTGGCACCAAAAAAAAAATTTACCATCCTAAACATCCCTTTTGGCACTATTGGGAATTGAACTGAAGATCCTGTCTCAAAAACAGAAAGAAGCCAGGAGTCAGAAAAAGTATGTTTTATTATGGAAATGAAACAATTTTGAAAAAGAACAAAATTGAAAGACACTACCTGATTTCAAGATACTAATATTTTTTTCCATATTTTAAAATGCTCTTGGGAGCCTTGATTCCATTTATACGAAGTTTTTAGATAAGGCTAAAGTAATATATGGTGGAAAACTCACTATTGATTGTCTCTGGGGTGTGAGGGAGATGGGATTTGTGGGGAGGAGCAGAGGGTACTGTTTTATTTCTTGACAGACTTTTGAAGTATAAACATTTTCAGAATTCATCACAGGGTATAGTTAAGACCTGTGTGTATTTTTCACTTGAGTGTTTTTCCTAAAATATAATAATATTCAATATAATATAGTATTGAATTCTAGTTAATAATGTGAATGTAGAATGTACTGATGTCTGCAACTTATATTGAATATATAAAAATGAATAAAATCCATTGATGAATGGATAGCAGGATGGATAGACTGACTTGATAGAGTAACTATCACAAAATGTTAATTGTAGGACGTATATGTGGTTATTGGTGTTTTTTTGTATAATTTTTAAAATTTTTATCTATGTTTGAATCTTTTCATAATAAAATGCTAAGAGAACAAACATGTGCTCTTAACCCAACCCACTCACTTACCCCAATCCCAATCTGATAGTTGCTATTTTTGCTTTTTCTCCATCTAGTGCTTCCAACTTTCTTTCCCTTTTCCTGTCTCCTCAATAGTGCTGTTTCCAATTCAGGCTGTGTCTTCATTCTAAAGCAGGGGCTGTGTGTGTGTAGAAAGAGGCTGGGGGAGGTGAAGAGGGAAACAATAACGAGATTTATTTGGTTCAGAAGTGGACATGCATAGAGCAGTCACTGACAGGTCAAGCATGAGGCTTCAGGACTCTGCTTTTCAGCAACACTTTCGAATACATGAATGGGAAAGGAAGTTGCTCACCATACTGTCTGGGAGGATGAAAGGCCAGGACTATACCCAGAAGTAGAAATCTGTTTATTATCTTGAAACATAGCTTTGGACCTGCCCCTGGTATTATTTTTGTTCCCAGGGGCATATAGGACATGCTTCACCCTGGCATACAAAGTTTTCCGTAGATTTTTCTCCTTCGTACCCTGGCTACATAACTCCTCTTTCTGTCTCTCCAGTTACTCATGTTTCTGGTCTCATATCTTTGCTAATCTTCTCCCTGTCCTTTTGGGAGCATTTTTATCTCAACACTGCTCTTTCTACCACCTGATCTTATTTTACTTTTCCTTAAAACCTGGTTCATATTGCTCTTTCCTGGAGCAACTAGAGAGAACTTATTCTCTCCATTATTCTTTCTGACATTTACTCCTATCATCTTTTTCTGCTTAATTCCAAGTTGTCCTTCTACCTCTGACCAACATCAATGTGCAGAAACTTGGAGGAGAAGGGCAAACTTCCATTTGAGCATGGTCTAGGCTCTAGGCCAGAATCCAGACATCTGGGTTTGCTTTAGGGTTTGGTCGTAAATAATGAGTGGGTTTGAGCAAGTTTTTATCTGGTTTGGGCCATCATCTTCTCATCTATAAAAAGAGGGGTGTTAACTGGATAATCACTCCAGCCCTTCCACCTGATTGTTTCTGGTTCTGTTTTGTTAATTTTATAGAGTGAAGAGTGGTTTTACAGAAGGAAGAGGACAATACTGGAATCATCTTTGATGTTCCCATTTATAAATAATATCTTCCACCAAGATATAGAAAGGCGGAAAGCTTTTATTCAGAACTAGTAAGTATATTACACCTAACGGCTCCCTAGTTATATAGTGTGGTACTAAATATTGATTATATTAAATGAAATATCAATTCATGCTTTCACCAGTGTATTGGTGGAATTCTCAGTAAATATTCTGTACTCTGGGGGAACTTATTTACAAATATGGTAGCCTGTGATAATATTTATAAATATGGTAGCTTGTGATAAACAGTGGAACCACAGATAGGCTAGGACTCATGCAGAGGTGACCAGGCTATGTTTTACCTTGTTGGTTCCCTGTCATCACCTACTCAGTCCTATCCTTCCATCCAGACAGGAGCTGTACTCATTGAGATCATAGTGAAGAAACAGAATAGATCTAAGTGGCACCCAAAATTAGTGCTTTTCAATATGATTCTTTTTTTTTTTTTTGGTACCGGGGATCAAACTCAGGACCTTGTGCTTGCGAGGCAGGTGCGGTGCTACTGAGCTAAATCCCCGGCCCAGTTCTTTTTGTTTTTTTGGTACCGGGGATCAAACTCAGGACCTTGTGCTTGCGAGGCAGGTGCGGTGCTACTGAGCTAAATCCCCGGCCCAGTGCTTTTCAATTTGAGAAGGGTGGACCTATGCTATCCAGGGTGGCAGTCACTCACCACATGTGGCTATTTAACTGTGGCTTTAAATACATTAAAATGTAATTTAATGTAAAGTTCAGTTGCACAGCTACCCTAGCCACATTTCAGGTACTCACTACCACATGTGGACTATCCATATCAGATAGTGAAAATATAGAGCAAGGTCATCATCTCAGAAAGGTCTACTGTAAAGTGCTGGTTAGACCAAGATATTCTGCAAGGAGGAATAGTAAATGAATGAATGAATAAATGAATGAGGAACATTGTTCTAAACTTTTTTTTCCTTTGTGTTTTTGAGACAGGGTCTCGCAATGTAGTTCAGGCTGGCCTGGAACACACTATGTAGCTCAGGCTGGCCTCAAACTGTTGGTGCTCCTCTTCTCTCAGCCCCCTGAGTGGTGAGGTTATAGAGCCTAGACCATCCCCAGCAGCTGAGCTTTTCTTGAGGGCCCGGATTTCAAGCCTTTTGCACATCCATAATTCAGGATGGCCTGAAAAGAAAAAATGTACAGTCCTAATGCTCGACAACATATATCTATGTCTATATCTATATATAATGTAAGTAAATAAATATGTATTTTCTCCCATCTCAGTGGATTTCATTAAGGAAAACAGTCGAGTCCTCATTCAAAGGATGGATATGACTGTTATAAAGCAAATTGTGGATGACCTATTTGTATGGAATGTTCTGAATTGTGAAGAAATCGGTGTCATTTGCCGTGAGAAGGTGGAGCAGGATGCAGCACGTGGGATCATTCATATGATTTTAAAGAAGGGCTCAGAGTCCTGTGACCTCTTTCTCAAATCCCTGGAGAAGTGGAATTATGCTCTATTTCAGGACTTGCGTGGAAAAAGTAAGAATCAGTTTACTTGCGTCTGTTCCTCCAGATAGAATAAATCACAAAGAGGATCCACAATCCTGATGATAGGAACTCTTCCCTCCTCATATCACCTGGCAGTGGGCTTTGATTCATGCTGAGGAAAACACTCATTAGACAGTGAAGCCAAACAACCCAGGGCCAGGGAACAAATGACTTAGTATATTCTCATTTCGAAGTATCCTTGGACTGGCCAATTGTGGTGGCGCACGCCTGAAATCCCAGTACATAGGAAGCTGAGGCAGGAGGATCCCTGTGAGTTCGAGGCCAGCATGGGCTACATAGTGAGTTCAAAGCCAGCCTGAGCTACATAGTGAGATCCTGTCTCAAAAAAAAAAAAAAAAAAAGTATCCCCAGACTATTCAAACACTCAGGTCAACATTATTTCGTGACCCTATAGGGAGTGGTCCAGCTGACTACCTACTCCATGATCCAAGCACAGTGATAAGGGGAACCTGACTCAGGGAGAATGATTCTACTTTTCATGAAGTGGTAATTTAGTTTTCATCATTTCGAATTAGTAAATTATGTCACACGGGTTAAGGCTTCATCTGCTGAAAGCTACCCCTAACTATCATTACCAGCTAAATCTTTCACTCGCCTTAACCCAAACACAGGGTTTTCCCATGTGCAATCAGCTGCTGTTAGTTTGGTGGCAGAAAGAAGCCAAAAGGACAAAGAGGGGAAAAAGGGAGAAGGGAAAAGCGGGAATAGATCTGTGGAGATCCTTATGCCAGCTCAGAACTGGGGGAGGGAATTAAAGTCACTTCCCCCAGCTTCTGCGCATTTCTTCCCTTCCTCCTCCTGACCTCCAGGCTTTGAGGAGACGCAGAACTGTGCCCTCTCTAACATCTCTTCTTCTCTAACAGGTCTTTTCCAACAGATACCAGAAGGAGACTTAGATGATCTGGCTCAGGATTTAAAGATCTTATATCAAACTCCATCCTTTCTGAACTTCTATCCCCTGGGGGAAGATTTTGACATAATTTTTAATTTGAAAAGCATCTTCACAGAACCTGTTCTGTGGAGGAAGGACCATCACCATCGCCGTGTGGAGCAGCTGACCCTGAATGGTCTGCTGGAGACCCTTCAGAACCCCTGCGTCATTGAAGGGGAATCTGGCAAAGGCAAGACCACTTTGCTCCAGAGAATCGCCATGCTCTGGGCCTCTGGGAAGTGCACGACTTTGACCAAGTTCAAATTTGTCTTCTTTCTCCGTCTGAGCAGAGCCCAGGGTGGACTCTTTGAAACCCTGTGTGATCAGCTGCTGAATGTACCTGACACAATCAGGAAGTGGACCTTCATGGCCATGCTGCTGAAGCTACGGCAGGGGGTTCTCTTTCTCCTTGATGGCTACAATGAATTCAAGCCCCAGAACTGTCCAGAAATTGAAGCTCTGATAAAGGAAAACCACCACTTCAAGAACATGGTCATTGTCACCACCACTACTGAGTGTCTGAGTCACATAAGGCAGTTTGGTGCCCAGATCGTTGAGGTGGGGGATATGACAGAGCACAGTGCCCAGGTGCTCATCCGAGAAGTGCTGATTAAGGAGCTTGCTGAAGGCCTGCTGCTCCAAATTCAGAAATCCAAGTCCTTGAGTAACCTGATGAAGACTCCTCTCTTCGTGATCATCACTTGTATTATCCAGATGGGCGAAGATGAGTTCCACGCTCATACACAAACCACACTCTTCCGTACCTTCTACGATCTGCTGATACAGAAAAACAAGCATAAACACAGAGGTGCGACTGGTGCTGACTTCTCTCAGAGCCTAGACCACTGTGGAGACCTGGCCCTGGAGGGTGTGTTCTCCCACAGGTTTGACTTTGAGCTGGAGGACGTGTCCAGTGAGAATGAGGACGTCCTGGTGACAACCGGACTCCTCTGTAAATACACAGCTCAAAGGTTCAAGCCGAAGTATAAATTCTTTCACAAGTCATTCCAGGAGTACGTGGCTGGACGCAGACTCAGCAGTTTCCTGATGTCTCCTGAGGCAAAGGAGGTGGCCAGGGGGGACACATACCTGCAGAGGATGGTTTCCATTTCAGACATTACCTCCCTCTACAGCAACCTGCTGCTCTACACGTGCGGGTCGTCTGCTGCAGCCACCAGGGCTGTTGTGAGGCACCTCGCAGGGGTGTATCAACACGGCAGCCTGCTAGGGCTTTCCAGGACCAAGAGCCCTCTCTGGAGGCAGGGATCTATACAGAGTGTGAACAACACCACGGATCAAGAGATTCTAAAAGCCATCAACATCAATTCCTTTGCAGAGTGTGGCATCCATTTATTCCACGAGAGTATATCCAAATCAACCCTGAGCCAAGAATTTGAAACTTTCTTTCGTGGTAAAAGTTTATACATCAACTCCGAGAACATCCCCGATTACTTATTTGACTTCTTTGAACATTTGCCTAATTGTGCAAGTGCTCTGAACGTCGTTAAACTGGACTTCTATGGAGAAGCCTTGGCTTCACAGAACAAGGCTACCACAGGGGAGTTCCCGGAAACCTACATTCCCAGCAGGGCTGTGTCTTTGTTCTTCAATTGGAAGCAGGAATTCCAGACGCTGGAGGTCATACTCCGGGATTTCAGCAAGTTGAATAAGAAAGATATCAAATATCTGGGCAAGATCTTCAGCTCTGCCACAAGCCTTAGACTGTACATTAAGAGATGTGCTGGTGTGGCTGGAATCCTCAGTTCAGTCCTCGGCACCTGTAAGAACATTCACTCCCTCCTGGTGGACACCAGCCCTCTCACCTTAGAAGACGAGCGGCACATCACGTCTGTGACCCACCTGACAGCTCTGAGCATCCATAACCTCCAGACACAGCGGCTCCCAGGTGCTGTACACTCCAGCAGTTTACATGCTACCCAGGCATGCTGGGACTACAGAAACATGAGATAGCAGAGTTTCGTTTTAAAATTTCTAATAGTTCCTACCAGGCTTCAGGACTTAGAAGGCAGGTGGAAGGGTTGACGACAGAGGTCTATGTAGATGGTGGCTGTCAGGCTGTGAGGCCCTGGGGAAGAGTCCCAGAGCGGAAGCCATAGAGTGTGAAAAGCTGTACGTAAGCTGGGTGTGATGGTGCATGCCTGTAATCCAAACTCGGAGACTGAGGCAGGAGGACTGCAAGTTTCAGTGCAGCCTGGGCAGCTTAGTGACTTAGCAAGACCCTGTCTCAAAATAAAAACTTTCAGGGGCTGGGGATTTAGCTCAGTGGCACCATGCCTGCCTCACAAGCACAAGGTCCTGAGTTCGATCACTGGTACCAAAAAATAAATAAATAAAATAAAAACTTTTAGAAAGGTCTGGGGACTTAGCTCAGTATGAAGGCCCTGGGTTCAATCCTCAGTACCTCAAAAATGACAAAAGAATCTGAGATGAAATGTCTCCTTCTTTCCTATCTCTCTCTTCTACCCATGACCACCTTTCCTGGAGGAGCTGAGCATTTTATAATTGGGAAATATCACATCAATACAGACTTCTTATTTCTCTGGAAAATTGTTAGATTTGGCAATGTTGCACTCACTAACAATTGGCTGAATCTGAATGACCCACCTCTGTGATTTTTGGACAAGACATCATCTCCACTTAGTTACAAACCCTAACTGTCCTCCTTCTCCTAAAAACATTATTTCTCTGGCCATTTTTGACCTTTATTGATAGCTCATGCAGTAAGTTTTTCTGAGTCAGATTTTTTTTCAATATTGAGGATTTAACCTATGATCTCAGCACTGGGCTACATCCCAGCCCTTTTTTATGTTTTGAGACAAGGAGGCTGGACTCAAACTTGTGATCCTGCTACCTAAATCTCCCTGAATGCTGGGATTACAGATGTGCCCACCATGCCTAGCTCAGACTTTTTTTTTTTTAATGTTTGTAATTCCCAGACCAAAAGGGTTAATTTGAAAATAGCATGATATATACAGTTCATAACATGCAGGGGCCTTTTGCAAAAACAGATTTAGGTTAAAGAAAGGCAAATGACCAGGCTGGAAATGTATATTCCTAAGAAATCACATAATCTCATTAACACTCCAAGGTTATTTTTTTAAATAAGGGAGAAATATTGATCAGCTTTCCCATTGCTGGGTCAAAATACCTGGCACCTGAAACTTAAAGGAGGAAGGATTTATTGTGGCTCATGGTTTCAGAAGTTTCAGTTCATGGTCCATTGGTTCCAAAGTAAAAGCATCATGATGGGAGGGCATCACAGAGGAAAACTAGGACATCTGTCAAACAGAGAGCAGGGGGAGAACCCAGAAAGGGAAGGGGCAGGGACCAGATATTGTCTCCAAGGTCACATTCCCGTGACACACTTCCTCCAAGAAGTCCCCATCTCCTTATATCCCATTCAGTTAGAACTCACCCATGGGTTAATCCATTGAGGGGAGTTAGTGCCTTCTCACCCAGTCATCTCTCCAAGAGTCTCTTAATCCAATCAAGTTGACAGGCAAGATTAAATGGCATAAGCAGAAAGCTAGAACTGTCCTTGAATGGCTTTTCTTTCTTTTTCTTAAAATTTTATGTATTTTATTTATCAATAACAAATGCTAACTTTTAAAAATTCACAATTTGGGAATGGGGATATAATAGCTCTGTAGTAGAATCCTTGCCTACCATTTGTGAGGTCTTGGGTTTGATCCCCAGCACTGGAAAAAAAGAGAGAGAGAGAGAGAGAGAGAGAAAGGAAAAAACCCACAATTTCTACTGAATGTCAATTTTTTTCCAAGAGAAATTTCAACTATTACACTACTGGTAAATGAAAACTCAGACCAGAGTATGTAATCTAATTGTTCACAAAAGAATGCAAAGAGCAATATTCTTTGGATTCTTGTTGAACCAGTTTTGGTTATAGACAAAGGATCCGAATGTTTTCTTTACTCTTTTTCAAAATTGAGTCTGGGTGTGGTAGTATGCACCTGTAGTCCCTGTTGCTCAGGAGGCTAGGGAAAGGATTGCTTAAGCGCAGGAGTTCAAAGCCAGCCCAACCAACATAGTAAGACCCCATCTGGTGAGTGAATGAATGAAGAATAAATGAATGAATGAGAAAAGTCTTGTCATATGAAAGACTCTTTTAAATACTTGAGTATAAGACTATTGTCACTGTTAAGTGATACTATTTTAAAGGGAAAAATAACTTTGTGTTCTACTTGAGCATATTCAATTAGTGAGCAAGGCCAAGAACAAAGATCTGTGGCAATAGATTTAGGGACTCCTGAGGCCATCAAAAAATGACTTGTAATCATATTTTGGACATAGTTGTTTAGTCGTTCAAGCAGCATTATTATCCATATCATGTTTATAAAATTTTATTAAGACTGGCTTTATGATCCAAAAAATGATCTATCATGGTAAATGTTCCATGCACACTTGAAAAGGGTGAGTTGGAGTGAATGTCAGTCAGGTCACCTTGTTTAATAGTCCTATTCAAACATTTTCTATACTTATTGGTTTTCTCCTTGCCTATCAATATGGACAATAGGGTATTAAGATCATTGACTATATTGTGTTTTTCTCCAATTTTCTCTCAGTTATGTTTTTTGAGTTCTTTATATAGTCTAGATATTAATCTTCTGTCAGAAGACTAACTCACAAAGATTTTCTCCCAGTTTTTCTCTCATTTTGTATGCTGTCTCTTCATTCTTGACTGCTTCCTTTGCTGTGTAGTAGCTTTATAATTTCATATAATCCTATTTGTCAACTCTTCCTATTATTTCCTGAGTAATTGGAGTCCTAGCCAGGAAATTGCTGTCTACACCAATATCTTCATGTAATTCTCCTGTTTTTCTGTAGTAGTTGCAGTTTCAGGTGTTACAGTAAGATCTTTGGTCCATTTTGAGTTGATTTTTGTAGAGGGTGAGAGATGGAGATCTAGTTTCAGTCTTCTACAGGTGGATGTCCAGTTTTCCCAGCACCATTTGTGGAAGAGGCTGTCTTTTCTCCAGTGTATGCTTTTGGCTCCTGTGTTGGGAAACAGATGGCTGTAGGTGCATGGGTTCTTTGTTCTATTCTATTAGTCTATGTGTCTACTTTTATGCCAATACCATGCTGTTTTTCTTACAATGGCTCCATAGTAAATATTTTGTTTTGTTTTTTGAGACAGGGTCTCACTATATGGTTCAGGCTGAGCTTGAACTCACTAAGTATCCCGGCTGGCTTCAAACTCACAGCAATCCTTCTGCCTCAGCCTCTTGAGTGCTGGGATTATAGGCGTTTGCCACCATGCCTGGTGTCCATAGTAATTTTGAAGTCAGATATTGCAGTGCCTCCAGTATTGTTCTTTTTGCTCAGGATTGCTTTGGCTATTGCTTTTGGTAGTTTGTAGTTTTTGAGAAATCAGGCCATTTCACACAAGATGTCAAATTTATTTATATAAGTTTGTTCATATTATTTTCTAGTTGTTCTTCGAATATCTGCAGTGTCTCTTGTGATAGACTATCTTTTCATTTCTGATATTGGTAATTTGTGTATCCTCTTCTTTTTCATTCTTGTTAGAAATTTATCAATTTTATTGATCTTTTGAAAGATTTAACTTTTTGTTTCATTGCATTCTATTGCTTGTTTGTAATTTTGTTGATCTCTATACTTTATTATTATTATTTCCTTCCTTTTCCTTCCACTGGATTTATTTTACTCATGTAATCTCTGATGTATTAAGCTCAGGTTATGGATTTGAGATCTTTCCTCACTTCTAATTACAAATATCCAATGCTATAAATCTCCCCCTAAGTACTTTGTTACCTTACTATCCTTATTATTCATCTTTATTTCTGTATCTTTCAAGATACAGTAAATTCCCAAGAGAATTCCACTTTGACTCATGATTAGTTAGAGGCATTCAGTTTATTTCAAAGTGTGTAGATTTCTCTGATTCTTTCTTTTCTTGGTATTTAGTCTAATTCCATTCTATATGTAGAATATGCTTATGGCTAAGTACTATAGATATTCTTTTCTTTTGTACCGGGGATCAAACTCAGATCCTTGCCCTTGCAAGGCAGGCAGCGGAACCACTGAGCTAAATCCCCGGCCCAGTACTATACATATTCTTGACTTAAAAATACATTTTTCTTGCTGGGTATGAGGGTGAATGCCTATAATTCCAGCATTCAGGAGACTAAGGCAAGAGGATCCCCATGAGTTGAAGGCCAATCTGGGCTACACAATGAATTCAAGTCCACCCTGAACTACATAACAAGACCCTGTCTCAAAATAAGAAAATTAAATTAAATTTAAAAATACATTTTGTGTCAATTTCATGCACATTTCTTGTTCATGGTGATAACTAAAATCTTCTGATTGGTAACAGAAATGACAATAATAGTAAATGACACAGTAAGTACTGAGTAGCTTTTGTGTCAGTTCTACATAATCTAATCTTTTTCCTTTTGGCAGGTGGTCTGACTGATGGCTTGGGTAACTTGAAGAATCTTATGAAGCTGATACTGGATAACATTAAGATGAATGAAGAAGATGCTATAGAATTAGGTCAGATTTTTGTTTTTATTAATATAAGTATGATAATAAGAATAGTTAGCTTACCTTTCTGTTGCTGGGACTAAATACTTGACATCTGCAACTTAAAGAAGAAGAGATTTATTTTGGCTCATGGTTTCCGAAGTTTCAGTCCATGGTCACCTGGGTCCATGGCAGAAAGGTACAGTGGAGGACAGTTGCTCACCTCATGGCAGCCAGGAGGCAGAGAGCAGAGGAAGAGCCAGAGAGGAAGTGGACAAGGGCCAGTTATTGTCCCTACACCCCCAGAACCCAGGCAGACATACCCAGAAGTGTGCTTTACTAATCTCCTAGGCATCTCTCTAGCCAACCAAGTTGATAATCAAGATTAACCACCACAGAACCTTTAGCCCTGGCTCCATACACGGCAAGGCTGTTTTTCCGCACTTGTGACTACATTAGTTTCCATGGACACTTGTTTCCCACTCCCACTACAGTTGTTTGGTACCATTTTATTCAACTTGTACATCACTAGGCAATATCCTTTTTAGAGGAGAAAAAAATATGACGTATGATTGACTATGATTGTATTTAAAACATTGAAACAATCTAAATGTTTGATACTGTGATTTCACAGTTAAGTAAAACTTCTTGAATGAAATAAGATACAGAAAAGAAGGTGGCATCAAGAAAAATCTCAGGAACATCGCAGAACATATGGCTTATCACAGAGATTCAGATCCACCAGGACAGGGAGGATTCCTGTGAAGCATTTTCCCCAATGTCTCTGCTTCTCCCCCCTCTTCCTTCCTCTCTCTCTCTCTCTCCTCTGCTTGAGACCTCAGTAAAAATGCTTCTTTCCCCCTTTAGCCTTTTAATTCTGCTTCCTGCCAAAAAGCACCTATATTCTTTAATTAAAACATCGTTGACCTCTTTTCCCTATATAGTGTCTGAGAAAAATAATCACATTAATTCAATATTCAATAAACTATGAATTAAACAGAGTATCAGAGCTGGAAAGAGCCTGAAAACATCTACTTCATTCATTTATTTGTAGAACATCTACTATGACCTAGAATGGTTTATTTTTTTATGGATATATTTTAGATTTACATAATGATAGATTGATTACAGGGAATTTGTACCTGTACGTGATATATCTTGCTTTTTTTCCCATTCCCCCCTTCAACCCTTCTTTCCCTTCTTATTTACAAAAGTATTGTTTCCATTTTTTCCCTCCATTGTCTTTTTCCTTGTCTCTTCTTTCCTTTCCCCCTCCCACCTCCCTTGTTCTTCTCATGTGAACATTTTCTTCCCATTTTCCAGTATCTATTTTAGTCCCTATTTCCACTTTCAGTTCCTCACAGCAGAGGAACAATGTGATATTTACACATGTGTGTCTGATTTATTTCACTTAAGAGTAAGGCTAAATGGATTCGCCTTGTGACTATACTCCTAGAATGGTTAACTTGCCCAAGATCTCACCAATTGATAGAAAAAAGTCAAAAGTAGCTCCCCAGGGCAGTCTGGTTCTGCTCTTAAGAAATAAAGTCTTAACTTAAATAAACTAGTCTAATTATAATAACAATAATTTGCTATGTATTACAGAATTATTGTGCAATACGTTATACACTACCCTTGGTACTTTTACACACTTTCACTCACTGAATCCTCACAAGCATCCAAGTATGTGGGTATAATGATCCCTGAGGCCACAGCTAAAAGCCTGAATAACTTGCCTGAGTTTACAAAATTATTAAATGGTGAATCTAGAAGTCAGAATGACCACAAAGCTCATGCTCACGCCTCTAAGCTGTCTGTATCTTATGACAACAATGAATATGTGTTGAAGGTTTACCGTGTGCCAGGCACTATGCTACAAACATTATATACATCATGAGCAGCTTTTCCAAAGCTCTGCAAGGTTGGTATTTTTAAAACTATAGAGGCTGCAGGTATAGCATAGTGGAAGAGCATTTGCTTAGCGTGTGTGTGATCCTGCATTTGATCCCTAGCACCACAAAACAAAACACCCATGTATGTCTTTCCATGAGTACCACCAAGATTAGAAATATTTTAATGACATAAAGCTATACCTAATCAACCCTAAACTCTACATTAACTTTAAACCTAAAAATTAGGGCATTTAAGGGTGTTGTCGGTTGATGTAAGGCAAATCTTTCGCGCGGTCAAACATGCTATGTTGGTGTAGTCTTGATAGGAAGTCTGTATGGGTGCCCCTGGCATGCAGTCCCAAGCAGGACCCCTTGCGGTCGCAGACAGTTGCACTCCAGGAGACTATGGTCTCCCTACTGCCCCTCTGGACTCAGAGTTCTAAGACTTTTTTTTTTTTGGTACCCGGCATCAAACTTGGGTCCTTGCGCTTGCAAAGCAGATGCCAGAACCACTGAGCTAACTGAGCTAAATCCTCGGCCCCTAAGACTTTTGAGGGGACTAAGAGGAGAGTTTTCCCAGAAGAGCTATGAAAAGAATTATGGGAAGAGCACACATTGGTACCCATTGAAAATGCTAAACATCTACTGTAGTTTTTGTCATGCTATTAAGAGAATGATGTGCATTTAAGTGGCTTTTGAATGGTCAGGAAGATTGGAAAGTAAAAGTTTAAAGAAACCCCTTTGAAACTTGAGGTCTCTGCACAATTCTGCTTTGCCTTCTTTTCAGTCCATTCATCTAGGTTGAATCAAATTAACTTGGCATCCTAAAGTATCTCTGTAGCCGAGCCTGGGTCCTGAGCCCTAGGTTGTCGCCAGCTGTAGCCGACACACCCGGTCGGCCCTGTCCTAGGACCCAGACCCACGACTTTGTTCTTCCTGACGCAGAGGTGAAGGAGGATGAATGACAGAGACGCGGAGCCTGTTTAACATGGGGCAGCGTGTTCTCTGCCTCTTTGTAGGCAAGGAAGCCCCTAGCATCTGGCTCATCTTGCCTTAATTCACCCAAACACAGGCACAAGCAATCGAAGTAACAAGACGCGCGGGCTTTCCGATACGCATTAGCACACGGTCAGGTAAACATCTTAACCTCAGCCGTCTTAAGTTTTCCCCAGAACCCGCACTATGCAATCGCCCGAGTGCAGCCTTTCTCCTTTGTGCTCACAGCGGAGGCCAGTTAGGCCTCAGTTCTCCTCTGGTCTCCCGCAAATCTCCTTTCAATCTTTTTGCAGCTAATGGTCTGACAAACCTGAAGAAACTGTGCCTGTTTCGTTTGGCCCATTTGTCTGACGTGGGAGAGGGAATGGATTACATAGTCAAGTCTCTGTCAGGTGAACCCTGTGACCTCCAAGAAATACAATTAGTCTCCTGCTGCCTGACTGCAAATTCCGTGAACACTCTAGGTAACCATTTCCTCCATTAACTGAATGAGATCGTGTGATTCTTTTATACTAATGAGCACTAAATTTCTCAGAGGGAAATTTAATTTTAATTCAAATTTAACTAGAAAAGACAATAAAGATGTTTAGGTAGTATCTAGCCTGTTTTTAATGAGTTCTTTTCATGATTAGAATTAAAATTAATTATTAGTGGATAATAGAGAACTGTAAAATAGTTGACATAATTTTTTTTTTCATACCTGGAATCAAACTCAGGACCTTGCGCTTGCAAAGCAGCTGCATTGCCGCTGAACTACATCCCTGGCAGTTGACATAGTTTTAAGAGAAGATGAAGATGAAGAAAATAGATATTGTTTGGAAAAAAAACTTTCTTAAAATTTGCCACACTTCCTGTCATATAATTACTGCCTAATATTTGGATGAATGGATAAATGATTGTAAAGCAGAGACATAAGAGTTTCTTTAAATCTGCTCAGGCAGATTCTTATCCATTGCCCTGTTAAGACGGAATTAATATGTATAATAGTTGAGTCTTTTCAATCCCCAAAGGGTATGTATATCAAGTATGGAGAACTCTCTCCATATTTTTGGATAAACTATTCAATTCAGATTGTTTTAAAATTTAGACTTTGGAAAAACATTGTGACACTATCAAACTGCTAGGAACCCATAAAGATTTCCAAGGAAACCATTAATATAAATTTACAGGTAGAGAACCCATGGTTGGAAAGGGCTAGACAAATACTGGGAACACAGGAATGGTGAGCACAGCTTACAAATGAAAATAATAAATGTATGTTTTCATGAACCTTGTCTGATTTTTAAAAGATTTTCCTGTCAAGTAATCTTGACAGGAAAAATTTCAGCTTCATTCAACAAGCATGAGAAATACATGAAGTGAAGAAGTAAGCATTTCTTAGCTAGAGTGATGCCACTGTATGATTGAATGAAAAATAGTTTTCTGTATTTTTCACCTCAACGTATTTGTCTTTGTCATTAAAATTCATTTCTTGCTGAGTGTGGTGGTGCATCCCGGTATTCCCAGCATTCTTGAAGGCTGAGGCAGGAGGATGGCAAGTTAGAGCCCAGCCTGGGCAATTTAGGAATTTAGCAAGACCCTATCTCAAAATTTAAAAAGGGCTGGGGATGTAGCTTAGTGTGCAGTCCCTGGGTTCAGTTCCCAGTAAGACCAAAAGCAAAGAAGGAAGGAAGGAAAGAAAAGAAAAAGAAAGCAGAGTTGGTCTTGCTTCAAAAACAAACAACAAAAACAGGGGCTGGGGTGAAGCCCAGCAGTAAAGCTCCTGCCTGGTGTGTGCAAGGCCTTGAGTTCACCCCTCAGGGGAGGAGAGAGAAAAGAAATCGTTCCCAATTATCTGTTTTCAATTGCAGTATTTAGTTCATTTATATCTAAGGTACTTATTGATATGTCTGGATTTGCACCTGCCATTTTGCTATTTTCTTTTTTTATCCTTTTTTTTTTACTAAGTTTTTATTATGAACATCACGCCTATGGCATCAACAAAATAATCTAAGCTGAAGTGCACAAAAACATCTGTTTTTGTTCCATTGTTTCTTGTGCATGATTAAGCGCATTTTTGAATTGGAAACAACTTCACAGTTCACCTAATCCAACCCCTTCATCCTGTAGAGGAAGACCCTGATGGTTACAGAAATTGAGCGACTTTCCCATGGTGATAACACAACTCTTTTCTTATGCTGCTGTTCACTATATGTGACCTAATCAGAACCCAGGACAGACCACTTGATCACAGACATGAAAGTAGCGGGTTATACCCCTCAGAGTAGTATATCTTTGGGAATAATGATGTTAACCAAGTCAAATGACAGTTTGCATTACCATCAGCAAAGAAGAGATTTGGAATTCTTCTAAGGGTATTTAAAAATGCATATAGTTGTCTGAAAATCTGTTTTTTAAACATTTTTTTACATTTTTTTTCCAGCTCAGAATCTTCACAATTTGGTCAAACTGAGCATTCTTGATTTATCAGAAAATTACCTTAAAAAGGATGGAAATGAAGCTCTACGTGAACTGAGTAAGAATGACAACTCAGCCCAAATCACATACTTGAATATGTATACTGGGTAGTTAGACTATCAGCCTGAGCCAGGGGGTCTCTTACAGCCAAGTGTGCCTTACCAGATGCAGCTGGAAAAAGAAAAGCTTTTAGGGCTGAGTCACCAGGCTGCATGTGCGCATTGAATACCTCCTTCAAGGAAGCTTGTGACTGATGTTAGACAAATTTACTTAAGGAACTGGTGATAAGACTTTTAAGGTATGACAGTGATACACGATTAAAAAAAATAAAAAAAATAAAAGAACTGATACGTATGTTTTGGATTTGCTCCAGAATAATACGAGAGGAATCAGGTAGGGATTAAGTGAGCTTGCCCACGATTTGCTGTTTGCTGAAAGTTGGATTATCATTACATAGACCGTAGTTTCATTGCACTATTCTGCTCAATGCTTATGTGTGTTGAAGTATTGCCCATAAAACAGCAAAACAGATTCTCAGTGCAAATTGAACAGGCTGGAAAGCTGTCAGAAAGATCATTTCTTCCCCCAATCCCTTTATCCTTCATCAATTTTGAGATGATCTATTTCCTGAACTGCTCTTTGTTTCTCCAAGTTGGCAGACTCAGCATCCTGCAACAGCTAACTGTGCTGATGCTACCCTGGTACTGCAGTGTGCACCTCAGCCTGACCAGCCTGTTGGAGCAACTGAAGGGGGTCCCACAGCTTGTCAAACTTGGGTTGAGAAACTGGAGCCTCACAGATGCAGAGATTAGAATTTTAGGTAGGTACACAGAGCTAAGACAAAAGAACTTGGCCCTAAAACTGTTCTTAAGTTGGCTTTATTTATTTTGTTCCTTTACCTTGTCTCCTCTTTTAAAAAACACATTTAAAAAGCATTAACACATATTAACGAGTAAGAATATTTAAAACAGTGACTTTCTTTCAGGTTTTTACGCCTTTCCCCTACAGACTTAAAGGAAAATCAGTCACGGTATCTGACAAAGGATACTATATTATTGTTCATCCCCACCATAAGTCTCTGAAATTCAGCAATGTTCTTCCAATGACAGGAAGTATTTTTTCAGTCAAGTTATTGGGTGTTCAAAATAAGCAAAGGCAAATGCAGGTGTGTCTAAATGGAGCCACAGAATATCTTTAAGCAGTGGTGTGCAATACAGAAAACAATTCATCTATCTAAATGATGAACTACAAACAGCTGATGAAAGGTTTTGGCGCTGTCTTTACTTGTTAGCAATTTACCTGAAAGAAATCACCTCAAAACATAATGGCTTAAAACAATAATCATTATTTCACAATTTCTGTGGGTCAGGAATCTGGGCGTAGGCTAGCCAGGTGATTCTTCTTCGGCTCCTTCGTGAAATGGCAGGTTGGAAGATGGCAGGGGCTGCTAGAGGACCTGCTTCCACGAAAGCTCCTCATGTGGCAAGCAGGTTAACACTGGCTGTTGGCTGGAGGCCCCAGTTAGCCAGCACACCTCTCCATAGGCTGTCTGAGTATCCTCACAACATGGCAGCTAATTTCCCCCAGAGGATGGGATCCAAGAAAAAGTAGGTGAAAGCTACAGTGCTTTTTGACCTATCCCTGGAAGGTTGGCACTAGTCATTTCCTTTATATCCTATTGGTTACACAGGTCAACCCTGTCCGGTGTGGGAGGAGACAATATAGGAATACGAAACGCAAGGAGGTTAGAGTGACTGGGACCATCTTGGAGGCTATCACGACCGGAGGTGGAAGATTGCAGCTGCCTTTATTTCCCTTACAGATTGCTTAGAATGTGTTCAGTTCACATAAAATTTACCATTTTAACCATTTTAAGAGCATGGTTCAGTGGCATATTTTCACATTATTGGGCAACCATCACCAAAATTCATCTCCAGAATTTTTCATCTTCCTCATCTGAATTTCTGTACCCATTTTGTACCCAATATTCACTCCTATCTCCTCCTTTTGCAACCTTCTCTCCTGGAAATGCTTACCTCTAATCCTTAGGGTGTCCAAGGGCTTTTCCTTCCCTAATGATGCTTCAAGATCGGGATCTTTCTTTCTCTGAATTCCTAATTCCACTACCCTCTCCTCCACTCACTCCCTTTTACCCATCAAATCATACCATGGGTGTCTTCATTACTTTTCTCATTGCTGAGACAAAATACCTGACACCCAAAGTGAAAGGAGAAAAGATTCATTTTAGCTCACAGTTTGTAGAGGTTTCAGTCCATAGTTAGTTGGCTCTAAGGCAGCTGGAGAGAGTCTATGGCAGGGCAGGCAGGAAGCAGCAGCAAGCTACAAAGCAGCAAGCCTCTCTTTTCCTTTTGTCTCATCTGGGCTACCAGCCTTTTGGCTGGTCCCACCCACATCCACCGGTAGGCCTTCCCATTATCCACACCCAGAACTATGCTAAAGGAGGCAGTGGACTAATTTAGTTATGACACACCCTTAATCCTAGTATCACACCCTTAATCCACATTCACATACCCTAGATCCAGCCACCTCTGAAAAGCCCCACCTATGACCACATAAGGTTTTGAAGGGACATCTATATAAAAGCCATAACATTAGATGACATTCCTTCAGGCCCTTCCTCTATTCTCAGTGGTATTGGAGGCAGGTAGTTCTGTGACAGACTGATTAGCTAGCTAATAATAATCCCTCTCAGGTAACCTATTACCTTAAGTGAGTTGGAAAGAATGTGACTTTTCAGGGAGCCCCTTGAGGGTGCCTAGATTTAGAATTCATGTTGGGGAGGCACTTTTAGGCAGGGGTCTTTCAGCATCTTTCAAGTCAAATAGACAGCTACCTACTTCACCCATTCCTGAAGCTAGCCATTGAGACTAGGGAATGACATGGGTTGTTTAATGAAATAAGAACTGAGCCAGGAATGGTGGCCTATGCCTGTAATCCCAGCACTCAGGAAGCTGAGGCAGGAGGATCACAGTGAGTTCAAGGCCAGCTTGAACTATATAATGAGACCTTGTCTAAAGGAAGAGAGAGACAGAGAGAGAGATCTGAGGCTGGCAATAATTCACTATTTGACTTTACTTTCCTAGTGTATTATAAGCCTCCATTTGTGAATAAAAAAATAAATAGGAGAAGTTATCTGATTCCTAAAAACTTAGCTGTAATGATGTACTCTAAAATATAAGATGCCCGAGATGTAGCTCAGCAGCACAGAGCCTGCTTGGAAAGCGTGAGGTCCTGAGTTCGATCTCTGGTACCAATAAATAAATAAATAAAATAAGAGTGAAATAACTCATAGTAGTAATTTATTCTCAAATATTAAAAAATGTGTCAAATTATCGTGATGCCTCTATAAAAGATAACCATTACTCTCCCTGGTTTACAAAAAGGCTTGAACATAAAAAGGTCATCAGACTATAGCAGGGAGGAGGGTTGGAGATAAAAGAGGAAGAATTGAGGAAAGACAAGAGGAAGTGAAACTGCTGACATTGTTCCCCTCAGCTAAGTCCTCCCCCTCCCAGAGGCAAACAGTCATCTGGTCGGCTGGAGGCAAGTGCTGAACAGTGAGAGACAAGTGCTCAGCCTGCACCGTGGCCAGTTCTGGGAATGCTTCCTGTCTACCCCCTCCAGAGGCTGCATGTTGAAGTAGCCAGGTGCACTGATTCTGTAGACGGACAGGCCTGCCCACCACCACTTTGTAGATGAGCTGTCTTCATCTGTTTTAAGGGCCTCTACCATTGTGCTATTTCTCAGCCTCTTAAAATTTTTATATTTTGACCCAGGGTCTCACTAAGTTGGTTAGGCTGGCCTTAAATTTAGGATTCTTTTGCCTCAGGCTTCTCAGTAGCTGAGATTACAAACATGCACTCCTATACCTTCAAGATACTAAATTCAGACATCCTATTCTCAAATAGTAATCTCCTCTGTTCCACTATACCTACTCAGCAGCTCCTAATCACCAGTTCTTTTACTTCACTTCCTGTCCATTAATCCCACTACTTCTGTTGATTCCCTTACCATCCATCTCCTCTAGATTCCAACCTCCATCCCTTGCAAACACTCTCATCCCAGGGGCTGAAACTTTCCAGGCCCACAGTATTGCAAGTCAGTTTAGGCAGTGACAATTAGAGGAGGACATGTGTGTTTGAGGTGACAATCAAATGAAGGGTGTAATGAGAGATGGAATCTCTAATTAAAGACACACCTGGCAATGAGATGCAAGGAGACAGAGATGTGAGGCATAGAACAAACTACAGCAGGTCGGGTGTGCTTTCCTGGTGAAACGCCAAGCATGGGTGCTCTTAAATTTTGCCCTTTTTTGTACCTGTACTCAGGTTACTGGGGGTGGGGATCACACAGTTTGTCAGAAAGATATGTTGCAAGTTCACACTGGCAAACTTCGACAAAAATACTTAGAACCCAAATGCTAAGAAAATATTATATATCAAAACTTGTGGCATGCAGCAAAAGCAGGGATTGAAGGAAATGCTCACAGCCTTAAATGTTTATGCAAAAAAAGGCTGAAAATTAATGTTTCTAATTTAAGAAGCCATAAAAAGAAGCAAATAAATACAAAAGTATAACAATGATAAACATAAAGAGTATAAATCAGCTGGGTGTGGGGCATATACCTGTAATCCTAGCTACTATAGAAACTGACACAGGAGGAGCCGGGGAAACTCAGTGAGACTGTGTCTCAAAAAATTAAAAAACAAAACCAGCCAAAAAGGCTGGGTATGTAGCTCAGCCAGAATACCTGGGTTCAATCCCCAGTACTGAAAAAATTTTAAAAGCACCTTATTTTTGTTAAGTGGTTGCAGAAACTTTTTAGGGTCCCCAAAAGAAAGGTCTTCAGTTTTTTTCTTGTTTCCTTTGAGACAGGATCTTCATACACAGTTCAGGCTGGCCTTGAACTCTGTGCAGCCCAGGCTGGCCTCCTGCCTCAGCCTCCCAAGGGATGGGATTACAGGCATGCACCACCACTCGGCTTTCTTGTTTCTTGTTTCCTGACGGAGCCAGCCATCACTTGTCGAACAGTACCTGAATGGGGGAGTGAGGATGAAGAAAAATAAAGAGATAGAGATAGAGTTGGGAGGGCTCCCAGAGACTGAGCGCCCAAGTTTATCCCCCCCCCCCTTTTATACAACAGGCGAGTTTGGTTGTTAATCATGACCCTTATCCAGAGACACCTGCTTCCTTGTTTTCTAGTTCTTTGGGAATTCCCCACCCTCATGGGCTTGTTTCTCGGGGTTACAGAACGTTCATCACGTTCCAGGGCAATCTAATTTGGCAAGGATACGGTTCCTCATAACATAGTCTCCTTGCTCTATACAATGGAGGGTAGGATTCAAAATGGAGCCTCTTTGGCTAACACCGCTTTCCACACACCGCTCTCCACATCTCCCCATTTTATATATTATGATCAAGGTCCCTTGATCACACAGATAGACTGTGCCTGTCTTAGGTGAGGAATATAAAGAAATCCCTTACCCGTCATGGAGTCAAGAGCATCACAGTACTCTTGCTTTGTCTTAGGTTGGTGATTTCCTATACTCCTCTTACCTGTCATTGACTACCAGCCTCTGCAGGGAATTACAACCATGGGTTTAGGCAGTGTAGCATGTAATTATAGACCATGAATACTTCCAGCCATCCTCATTAAAGAATGCATAAACATCTGTAGTAGCGCCAGAAGGCTCATGCATCTAAGAGGCAGTCCTCCTCCAATAATTACTATGGAAATGAGTTACCGCGTAAATGCAGATGTAGATGGCAGAACTTTTCTAATTTGTTCGATAAAATCCT